TCTACGGAAAATATCATTTTCATATACAATCGACATTACTCTATTAAATACTACACTAGGTTTGTTCCTATCATGAAATTTATTTTTTTCGATTTTTTCGATTTTTTTTGGAAACGGTAGAATGTGCGCGCTCTTCACCCATATATATAGATAAAATAAGATTTTTTGTGCATATTAGCGAGATAGCATCAATTTCTCACTACTGGCATTCTCAATTGACTTGTGACAATTGCCGAAACTTTTCTAATTAACTTTTAACATTATCTTTTAATTAAATAGGCTATCAGTAGACTTTCGGCAACTAATTTATTAATTACTCAAACTTTTGCCAACACGAAATTGGGCGTTGTCAATACTCCAAGAATAAGAATTTTTCGATTTTTATTGGTTCTGCTCGAGAGTTATGTGACTGGAAGCGAATCTCATCTAGGGCCTTTCTCATGCAGGATGTCGGATGCTAGTCTCTGCACTCGAATCAAAAATATCTCCACATTAATACTCTCATTAACACTGAAAAGGTTGCAATCTGTCTTTGATGATATTCACTTTTCATATGTCTTCTCATAGAGGTGTTATATTCAACCTAATATTTAACCGAATGATAACTTAGAATCGTTGGATTTGGCACGCTGAATTATTTAGTTTTCCAGTTGGTACGCGTTTCCTACCAATGGGTCGATTACTCATTATCGAAATGTTGATCAGTTTTTAAAAAAATTTGCTGAAGTCCAATTTTGTAAACATAATTAATAACTAGATTTATCAGTTAAATACAGACTTTTCTCTATTGGCAATAGTTGACTTTTTATCAGATTTATTGACCTCATCAAGAGTAAACTTTCGGTAAGTGGCGAAAGTGATTACTACGAAATGAGTGTTTTCCGATAAGAGTATTAACTCTGTTGTGTTTTATGATATAGTATATTGATTTAAAATAAACTCTATCAGATTCTATAAAGGTTAAGAGCAAAGTCCGACCATTTATTATGTAAGATCTATTGTTTTCATAAAAAATATTCGAAGATAAAACCAATTGCTAGTTTATCAAGAATAGATCCTCTCGAAAAGTGAAAAAGGTAACTTTTTTTATCTAAAAAATCTGAAATATAATTCTGTTTGAATAGGGCAATATCATCGAGGAAAGAATTATCTAGAATATGAACTATTTTACAGGATCTCTACGAGTTTTTGTTTGTCACACGTCAATCTTAGGTAAGATATAAAAATGTTTTGTTTTTCTCTTATTTGGTGTGAAAAGATAATTTATTGGGTCTCTGATAACGATAAATCTCTGATAAGGAAAAAACATAATCAATAGCTGGATGAAGTTTGATTTTGTTGATAATTTATATTTATATTGAAAAAGCTTATCGAAAAAACAAAATTTTCTATTGAAAGGAGAATTTGAATTGTTGTTATCGGTTATGGAAAAAAAAAGATTTTTAAAATAAATTTAGTAAAATGATATTGTCAATCATCATAGATTATTTTCTATCAAAACTCTAAATTATTTCCTTTCTTATGTGTCGATTTTCTAAAAAGCCTTTTTCAAAATGAATTTTGTGTTAAATAAAACAAATGAAATAATCAAAATAATAAAAAAAATTCTTTTTCTAAGATAATTTATTATTTATCTGAATAAATTACCTCCCAATCAGCTTCTCCTCTATGTTTAGTAAATGCACAGATCCTCTTAATAATCGACCAAATTCAAGAAAACGAAGATCATAACACTAAAATAAAATAAAATAATAGAATAGAATATTAATTAAATAAAATACAATTTCAAGAGTAATTCTTCCAGCTGGTGTTTCAATTGGATTAGTAATAGATCAACCAGGTTGTGTAAAATCTGACTCTCGAATAACTAGAGAACCAGCTTGAACATAAAATAATGTATTTTAGAATATCGACCAATAATATCACCTTGATAATTTATTATTAAATGACTATTTAATAGACGAGTTCCATCACCTGGCTTAAATAAGATTTTTTTCAATAAATTAATTAATAAAAAACAAATCGAAAACGGACTCGTTGATGAAAACCACCTGATGAAATCCATAATAGATGTTGTTTTGCTAATTGTCTAAATCGATTTATAATTCGACCATCAATTGGTTCAGCTTTTTCAAGTCTTTCTCATATTGATTCAGATATATAATAAAATCTTTCAGGAAAAAATCGAATCTATTCAACATTTATTAGAATTTTAATTTAAATTAAAAAAACAAACTTTAGCTTGTTCTTTTTTATCTTGATTTATTAATTGTTCTCCTATTTGAAAATATTCTTCTTTATCAGCACGACTATTTTATTGAGAGACACCGATACCAACTATTTTAGTTGACATTTTTTGATAATTCAATTTTAATTTAAATATCGATTTTAAATAAATATCAATTCGATTAAACATTTAATTAATATTATCTTTTATCTTTAAATACTTAGGGTTATCCAAAAGTAGTGAGTCAGGTTCTTTTTTTTCTTATAAATAGCTTTGAAAAAAAATCCTTTTTTACCAATAGATAAAGCATCTTTCGCTCTATTTTTCTATGCCATTTGAGCACTATTTAACTGGTATCATAATAATAAAATTTCGATAAGAACTTTTTTTGTGTAATTCCAGTTGGTAGCAATAGTGCATATTATCATCCATGAGTTTTTTCTTTGTTTTTTTTT